GCGCAGGAGGGGAAGGCCCTCTATGAGGTGGATTGATTCAGTGACTGGAGTAATCGGGGTGGGTGTGTCAGAGACAGTGAGATTGGCACAGGACAGAACAGAGTTTAGGGCTGTTGTACACAGGGTTGCTATGAGTTGCAGGTGACTCAAGGGCACGTAACAGCAGCAACACCTGTATAATAAAGTGATAAGCCATGGTAAAAAAAGTTATAGAACAGTTTGGTAGTATGTCAGTCATTGGAAAAGAAGTAATTGAATCTATGTATTTTCTCTGTGACAGCTGTAGCTGGGCCTGAAAATGGTGAAGTTCATTGTAGCCTATCTGCATCCAGGTGCATACCTGGAGATACAGGAAGAGGGCTGGGCAGAGGGTTGTGTGTGGGCCTGTCATAGTCCAAGCTCCCCATCACAGTCAGGGCATAGGGCCCTGCCTCCACATGAAGATGGACTCTACTCACATGGAGTGAATGCCTCCTCTGGACCTGTAATTTCCATACCTGTCCCAGGAAGTCCAGAGGGGCAGGATATTTAAATAGCTTGATTGCTGGCCAGACAGTGGGGTATAAGGAGCATGGCCTTGTCCACTTGAGTACTCTTTTCAGTTCAGAATGTAGAGTCTCATATATCTCCTGGACTGGGGCTGGCTGCCCTGATGAAGGCTATTTCTGAGGTGGAAAAAGTGATTTATTCTTGCATTGGAGAAAACGGTTTTCAGAGCAGAGAAGGAATCCTACTGGGAGAGGGGTGGCTTTAGAAAGGTGATGGTAGTTGATGAGAGTCTGTTGCTGGGAACCAAACCTGCATGTCAACTGGCACCAAGAGAAAGACTTAGCATGAAATCCATTAGACAGAAAAAGAAATTGAAATAGAAGTCATCAGCATGTTAAAAAAAATTTGGGTATAGCAAGCTTATGAAAACAGCATGTGGGTGGTTGCATGGTATGTAAAAACATATAATGATATATATGTTATTTGTGGAAAATATGGGCTATTTTCTGGCTTAGGAGTTATAATGCGATTTTTAAAACGTTCTTTCATATTTTATGTCCATTTTCAGTTTATTCTCCTTTCCTTTTTGACATCCAGAAACCACTAAGCCACTTAAGTACTGCGGAATGCTTACAATTCTCCATATTCCATGGAGGTAGATTATTTTCAATGGAACTCTTGCCTTCTCTGTAAAGTTAATCAAGGAACAAATTTTAAGGACAAGGATACATTTCTTTTCCATCCACACTGACTCAGTTCTGGAAACAAATTAAATACTAACCGCAGCACCTCTCGTTCCCCTGGCACCTTTAGGACCACTTTCCCCAGTTTGTCCAGGAGCCCCTCTGCTTCCAATTTCTCCTGTAGGTCCCATCTGTCCTTTTTCACCCTGTAAATCCATTAGTAAGGAAGGAAAAAAGGAAAAGCCAAATTTACACTTAGACTAATTAACTGTAACATGCAACTGAATGATTCAAGAGAATATTCTGTAAAGAAAATTTATAAGTAGTAACTTTGCCTTAACTAACCAATATAACAGACTAGTGTCCGTGATAATATACTGACACTATCCAAGTTATTTTAAAGATATAATTAAAAGTAATCATGGAAAACAAAGGTTAGCAATTCCAAATAATCAAACTTCTAATTTTGAAATTTGTTATTAATGGATTCATTGGTTAACTGATTGCAGTCATGAGAGAATCCAGGGCCTATATAAGACTTCAGGGCTCCAAAGACCTGATTAATGTGCAACAATCTCCTGGGGCAAACTGTACATCCAGGATCATCACTCACTCTGAGTGAGTTTGGAGTACATCTTCAAAAATGCATCACATTTTTATATCATTTTACCTCTGAAATATAGTCACCCTCTGTTTTTCATTAGACTGATTCAAAATAGTGCAACAATGAATGGAAACCCAAAATCTCTGTAAATGCTCATTAAAATTAATAAAATTTAATTAAAAAAAGAATATGAAAACATGTTTCAAGCATTTTATGCTATAAGATAAGAGAATTCCTGGCTCTAGTGGTCTACTTTGGAAGCAGGAGCGGCACATACTTCCTAAAACAACATGCCTCTGGAAACTCTATGAACTTTGATAAATGACAATAATTATAGAAAGGCTTCAGGCTTTTTGTTCAAAGGGTCACTATGCATCATGCTCAACTTGACGGCAATCAACAACACAGTGGTCTACTGGAGAAAGTTCCATTGCCAACCCAAAGGTGGCAAGTTTGAATCCACTATATGATAGGAGAGATAAAGATGAACAATCTCTTCCCATAAAATTTATTGCTTCTAATAAATCAGTAGAGGATCAGCTATGTGCGTGTTCTGACTCAATGGCAATGCGTTAGACTAAACGCATATAAGGTAACTCCAATGGCTTAGTTTGTAGGGAAATAGCACTAACCAAAGGCTACACCTTGTTGGTTGTTGGAATCCACCAGGAGCTCCAAAGGAGAAAAAAAGGCAGCCTCCTCCCACGTGATTTACAGCCATGGAATAGAGGGACAGCTATGAATTACTTTCAACTTAACAACAATGAGATTTAGAGATTATGATATGATATTATTATATTCTATTCTAGAGATTACTGTAACATTTTATAAACTATTAGTATAACTAAATAAAGAGTTGAGATGTGAAAAAAAGAAAGCTTATTTAAACAATATTACGTGTTATTATCCACTTTCTGAAAGTAGAAAGTTTCATTATCAATTAGTAGAAAGAAAGAAAAGTAAAACCTGTGACTGTGGTTAGACAATTTTTTTATATTCAGAGGATTAAAATATTTTAATTGTCTGCCTTTGGGATAGCAACACAGCTTCTTGCCCTAGGCCTTCAAAGATATTAGACACAAGACTAAATATGATGAAAGTATTGGGGATATTTTCATGGGCAAAAACTGCAACTTAAATTTGCTTCATTTCATTTTCCTTTTTTATTATCCCTTGTCCAACCTAAAGATGCTTAGAAAAATTAACTAGCATTATACCAGTAGAAAGGCAAGAATTGGATCTTAGGAACTAGAAAATGCTATAATTTTAAATCACATAGTAAATGTATTCAGACTTTCATAGTGCAATAACAGAAGTTCTTATGTGTCTACTCAATATTTATAATTAATTACTGAAAATGAAGATAATGCACTAGAATTTTGTAAATATACTCTCCTATATTTCCCAAAGGCATGTGGTTTGAACCCACAAGCTGCTTTGTGGGAGAAGGATTGTGCCATTCGCTATCTCTGAAAACACACTGGAGGGTCAGCTCCAACTCAATGGCATACAACAACAACAAACAACAATATGTCTAAGTAAAAAAAAATAATAAGCAAATAAAATATATTCTTGTTATGCATGGTTTTTAGTTAACAAAACTGAAAGAAAAAAATCACTGATCAGCATTTAAATATGGAGAAACATCTCAATAGCAAATCTAGAGAAAAAACTAATCACATTCTTTTTACACTATTTTACAGAAGTCATCAACAATATCACATATACTATATTCTCTTCTACCTTTTCTGACACATAGTCTACTGTCTGACAAGCATAATGAAGAAAAGCAAAGACCATGGATAATCCATAAATGGAAAATTTGCCTTAAGGTAATGAAGGTTAAACTATTCCTAATTGGAATTAAGTACTGTTGTTTGTTGCTGTTATGTGCGGTCGAGTGACCTGCGACTCATAGAGACACTATGTACAACAGCCCTAAAACCTGCTCTGTCCTGTGCCACTCTCACTGTCTCCGACACACCCACCCCAATTACCACAGTCACTGAATCAATCCACCTCTTAAAGGGTCTTCCTCTATTACGCTGTCCCTGTACCCTCCCAAGCATGATGTCCTTCTCCAAGGACTGATCCCTCCTTGCAACATGTCCAAAGCATGTCAGATGAAGCTTCAGAATCCTTGCCTCCAAGGAGCAGCCTGGTTTAACCCTCTCAAGGTTGAACCTATTTGTTTTCTTAGCAGTTCATTGTATATTCAATACTTTTATCTAGCACCACAGCTCAAAGGCATAAGAGTTGTAAATTTGGATTAAAATTTTTTTATAAACTAATACTTAATTGGAGTTAAGTATTAGTTTATAAAAAATGCTATTTTAATCCAAATTTAATACTCTTCATTAGTTTATTTATAGTACAAAATAAAAATGTTGCATGACTTTATGAAAATCTGCATTAAAAGAAAGAAAATCAGAACATAAATTACCTTTTTTCCTGGGCGACCTCTTTGTCCTGGAATTCCCACAATTCCTTCAGGTCCCTGAATATTCAATATTACAAAAGGAAATAAGTGGTTAATAAAAGACTACTTGGAGTTTGGGAATACCAATCATATCAGATCAACTAGGAATCACCTAGGAAGTAATCAATAATGATTTCTTGGTAAAATTATTTAGAGTCATAATAATTGTGTTATTGTTATGTGCCATTGAGTCACTTGTGACTCATAGTGACCCTATGTACAACAGCCCTTAACCCTGCTCTATCCTGTGCCAATCTCACTGCCTCTGACACACCCATCCAGATTACCCCAGTCACTGAATCAATCCACCTCATAGAGAGTCTTCCCCTCTTGTGCCATCCCTCCACCCTCCCAAGCATTATGTCCCTCTCCAAAGACCTGTCCCTCCTTAAAACATGTCCAAAGTATGTAAGATGAAGCCACAGAAGCCTTGCCTCCAAGGAACATCCCGGTTTAACCCTCTCTAGGTTAAAACTGTTTGTTTTCTTGGCAATCCATGGTACATTCAATACTCTTCTCCAGCACCACAGCTCAAAGGCATCGATTCTCTTTCTATCGTTCCTAGTCATTGTCCAACTCTCTGATGCATAACAAGTGATTGTGAAGACCATAGCCTGTATCAGATGAACCTTAGTCTTCAGAGTGATACAAATGCTCTTCAGTACTTTGGAGAGGTCCCTACCAGCAGAATTTCCCATCACAATACATCTTTTAATTTCCTGGCTATTGGTGCCAAGAGTGTTGACCATGGAACCAAGCAGACTAAAGTTGTTAACAATCTCAATCTCTTCACCATCCATCCTGATGCTGCCAATTGGTGCAATGGTGAGAATCTTTGTCTTCTTGACATTGAGCCTCAATCCATACTGAAGGCTGCAGTCCTTGAACTACTCACTTCGGGTCTCTCCTCAGTTCAGCAAGCAGGGTTGTGTCATCTGCATAACGCAGATTGTTGACAGATCTTTCACCAATCCTGATGCCATATTTCTCCTCATAGAGCCCAGCCTCTCAGATAATCTGCTTTGCATACAGGTTGAAAAGGTATGGAGATAGGACACATCCCTGGCGTACACCCTTCCCAATTTTGAACCATGCCGTGTTTCCTTGCTCTGTTCTGATGACTGCCTCTTGGTCCAAGTATAGGTTTTGCATTAGCATGATCAAGTGTCCTGGGATGCCCATTCTTTTCAGAGTCAGCCACAGTTTGTTGTGGTCCACACAGTCAAATGCCTTTGCATAATCAATGAAACAAAGATAAACATTCTTCTGGTATTCCCTGCTTTCAGCTAAGATCCATCTAACATTAGCTACAATATCCTTAGTACCACGACCCCTTCTAAGCCCAGCCTGGACTTCTGACAGTTCTCTGCTGATGTGCTGTTCCAGTCATTTTTGGATAATCATCAGCAGAATCTTGCTTGCATGTGAAATCAATGATCTTGTTCTATATTTTCCACACTTTGTTGGGTCACCATTCTTTGGAATGAGAACAAATACAGATCTCTTTCAGTCAGTTGGCCAAATGGTTGTTATCCTTCTTGACACAACTTGATGAGCACATCCAAGGCAGCATCTGTTAGCTGAAATACGTCAGTTGGTATACCATCAATTCCAGGGGCCTTATTTTTTTGCTATTTCTTTCAAAGCAGCTTGAACTTATTCCTTCATCACTATAGGCTCTTGCTCATATGTGATTTCATTAAATTCTTCTGTGTCTGCCAATTCCTTCTGATACAGTGACTCAGTATATTCTTTCCACCTTCCTTTACTATTTCCTGAATCACTTAATATTCTGCCTAAAGCATCCTTGATTATAGCTACTCAAGGTTTGAATTCATCCTTCAGTTCCTTGAGCTTAAGAAATGCTGAGCGAGTTCAGCACTTTTGATTTTCTGACTCTAGCTCCTTGCACATTTCATTGTAATATTTTACTTTGTCATCCTGTGCTGCCTTTTGGAATCTTCTGTTCAGCTCTTTAGTATCTTCAATTCTTCCTTGTGCTTTGGCTTCTCTGTGCTCCAGTGCAATCTTCAGAGTTTCTTCTGACATCCATATTGGTCTTTTTGTTTTCTCTTCTTTCTTCCTGGATGATACATTTGACATCCTCCCACAACTCATTAGGTCTTCTTTCATTAATATTAAAGGTCTCAAGCCTGTTCCTGACTTGGTTCTGAAATTCAGGTGGGATGGACTCAAAGTCATAATTTTTCCCATGGAATTGGTTTACTTTTCCTCAGCTTCAGCTTGAACTTGCATATGAATAGTTGGTGGTCTGTTCCACAATCAGCTCCTGGCCTAGTTTTCACAGTTGATATTGAGCTTCATCAGGGGTTCTTTCTGCATATGCAATCAATCTTATTCCTATGCATATCATCAGGTGAAATCCAGGTGTATAACCTGTGCTTATGTTTCATATTAAATGTATTTGCAATGAATAACATTGATTGTGCAAAATTCAATCATTCTATCTCCAGCTTCATTTCTGTCACCTAATCCGTGTTTTCCAACTACTGATTCTTCTTCTCTTACCTCTTCTTTTTACGGATTCTGTTCCCAACTTTTGCATTCTAGTCACCCATTATTATCAATGCATCTTGATTGCATGTTCGATTGATCGCCTACTGTAAAAGTTGGTAGAAATCATCCATTTCTTCTTCTTTGGCTCTAGTTGTTGGTGCATATATTTGAATGATAGTGGTATTCACTAGACTTCCTTGTAAGTGTATGGATATTATCCTGTCACTCACAATGTTGTACTTCAAGACGGATCTAGAAATTATTTTTTTAGCTATGAAAGCAACCCTATTTTTTCCTCGCCTTTTCATCTCCAGAATAATATACGATCATCTGACTCAAAATCCCCCATTATAGACACAGATATTTCTAGCTCATAATGATCACATTATGAAAATTATTAAAAGAAGATTGAAGGAGTATACAGAGTCACTCTACCAAAAAGAACAGACTGACACAGAAAAATTTCATGATATAACATATGATCAAGAAGCAGTGGTAATGAAGGAAGAAGTTTTAACTTCTCTGAAGGAACTGGCAAAAAACAAGACCCCAGGAATTGATGGAATACCAATTGACATACTTCAACAAACAGATGCTACCCTGGATGTGCTCACCATGTGATACCAAGAAATCTGGCGGACAATACCTGCCCAATTGACAGGAAGCAGTTGTCAGAACATAGTGAGGAAACGCTGCATGGTTCCAAAGCAGAAAAAGAGTGCATCAGGGATGTATCTTGTCTCCATAACTTTTCAATTTGTATGTGCAACAGATAATTTAGGAGAAAGGACTTAATGAGGAGAAATGTGGCATCAGGTGACACAACTTTTCTTGCTGAAACAGGAACTGAAGCATTTCTGCAGAAGGTCAGAGTTTGTAGTTTTCAGTGTGGATTGAAGCTCAACATCAAGAAGACAGTGATTCTTACCACTGAGCCATGACAGATTAAGAGATTGAAGTTAACAATTTCAGCTTGTTCAGTTCCACAATAAACATTGTTGGCACCAGCAGTAAAGAATAAAAAGCCTAATTGCATTGGGGAAGTCTGCTTTCAAGGACTTCTCCATAGTGCTGTAATAATTAGACTAGTGACTAAGGTGCGCCTGATCCAGGCCATTGTCTTTGCAATTATTTGCTGTGCATCAGAGAGCTGGACAATTACTAAGATGACAGAAGAACATGAGTGACAGAATGAGCATACCATGGACTGCCATGAGAACAAACAAGTTTGTCTCAGTGATGGTGAAATCAAGTTTCTCCTTGAAGGTAAGAATGGATTTTAAAGCTTTGTCTCATATACTTTGGGCATGTGGCCAGTAGGGATCATTCCTTGGAGAAGAATATCATGCTTGGAAGTGTAGAGGGCCAGTGCGGGAGAGGAGACTCCAGATGAGAAGGTTTGACAAAGTAATTGGGGTGATGGGGTAGGTGTGTTGGAGTCAATGAGACTGGCTCAGGATAGGGCAGGGTTCAGAGTTATCATACATATGTTCTCCAGGAATAAATAGCAGGTGACTCAATGGCACATAATAACAACAACAACAACAATGATCACATACACAAGCCGGCAATGATAGGCAAAATTAAACTGTTCATTGCAAAGAAAATTACATTGTTTCACCATCCTTCCTTTAATTCATGAGACAGTAAAATAAACTCAAATGCATCTATGTCAGCAGGCTTTTTTTGTGGCTTAGTGGAAAATAGTTGTACTGCCAATGCAAAGGCATGGTGTTCTAATCCACCAGCTTCTCCCTGGGAGAAAGATGCGGAATTTTCTCCTATGTGATTTTCTGCCTCTGACAACCAACTGGAAGGTCAGCTATGAGTTGGTCTGACTCAATAGTACATAACAATAACAACAACAGTCTCCAATTCCATGCCAAGGAAGGATATTGACTACTGAGATAGCTTCACTATTCCACACTGTTCATGATTCAGATGTTAGGATGATGCATAACAACAACAACAACAACAACTACCACCACCTAGTTTCCTGTGACTTCAGCATCTTGTGAAATAAATAGGATTATAAAACATATCTAACTCATCCTTATGAAAAAAACAAATTTCATTGGAGTACAGAGAATTGAAGAGATACACATTGATCTGTGGTGAAAAAGGGAAAATATAGAAAAAAAAGGAGTTAGTTTACTAACCTTTATTAAACTCATAAAGTAATAGATACTTGTTTCAATATATACTACATTTAGGAAAAGTAGTCTAGACATTTTCAATATGTACTTTATTTAGTTAAAAAGTAGCTAAAAAAAAGTAGCTAAAATATTTTAGGATTCTTATGGATTTGGATTGCAGCAATGATGAGACATTACAGTCAGTCAGGTTGCAAGTTCTAAAATAGCTAACAACTAATCACAGCATTCCTTGCATTAGTTGGAACTGAAAATGGCAATTTCAAATTTGTGTCCTAAAGTTTGGCAAGCTTCAACAAAGATGTAGGCAAGTAATACACTGTGGTTTACCACTGAGCTCTGTAGACT